GCTCGGCGGTGGAGCCGGGACCCGCTCTCACACCCGCTTTTTGTTTGCAAGGGTAGCAGCTAACGCGGAGGTTTGGCCAGGGCCAAGGAAACGAAGCGTGACAGTGCAGAAGTGCTGGTGTTCGTAATGGGCAGACAAGAGAGCACTCCTAGGCATGTGCAGGCATGCACACGCACACCCCTGCACAAATTCACAGTACCTCCCTCTGCAAGTCCCACACAGCCATGTCCTGATGATACGTTTTCCCCTTCACACCCCCACCCTGTACAGTACACACATTCCCACATGTCTGAAACCCCTTCACAGCCACTCTCGTCCTACACCCCGCCATCCTCCAGGCACACACCCACCACTGCAAACACTCCACACACACGGGCACAGCTCTCAGCACACTCCATAACTAAATGTATGGTCAATTAAAGAAACTGTGACTAATAAAAACAGCCTGACATTTTCCGGGCCATACACGCCCCAGCGATTGGAAGCCCCCAGACCTGAGGATGCACTGATGCTTACCCAGTGAAAGCCTACAGTGCAGGGCCACCAGCTATTCCAGTGTGGAGGCACTGCCCCTTGCAGCCCAAGGCTTGCCCAGGAAAGCAAACCCAGGCCCCTTCTCACAAAGGCAGGTGTATGGAGCCAGGCAGCAACCCCGCAATCATGAGAGCACATGCTAAACGTGCCAGCCACTAGTTTCCCAGCCTCTGGCATCTCCCTGAAAACAAAGATCCTCCAATACTTTGCCCTTTTCCAGGGCCCTCAAAGCACTGTGTAAGCATCAATGCACCTAGCCTCCCAGTGCTTCCTTGCCAGCACCAGCCTGCCTAGCTCCCTGCAGCTGTGCTCAGCTCAGCAAGTGGACGGGGGCATCAGGACCTTGTTTGAATTCAGGGCTCCCAAGCGTGGAACCAAGAAGGTGCCACAATGTAAGACACTCAGCCCTTGATGTGCCCCACCTCTAAGACCAGACCACAAAGACCATCTCCCACTAGCGGCTGGTCCCCAGGGCCAGCAGCCTCCTGCTTACATATGGCAGCAGTTACTCCACTGCTAAGAAGCCTGGACTTGCACTTTGGGGTGGGGGAATGAGGCCAGAGGCCTGATCCCTGACAGCAACTACAGCACCTGTATGTGCGGGGCCAACACTGTGAAAACAACAGCGCAGACGAGGGCACAGTTATCGTCGTGCGCAGGAAAACCAGGGAGAGAGGAACTCAAACCCAGAAGCACCAAAGAAAAGAAGAGAGGAGATGGTGATTTCTACAGTGGAGCTGGAGAATAGAGAACTGCCCCATCTCTGCTTCACTTTGGCCACGAGTGGCACATACTGCTGCCCACAGATGCTCAAATCTCCTTGCGACAAGGCTGGAGCCTTTCCTTGCTGCACAAGGAGAAAGACCAGCCCCTTCACCTCTGGCAAGAATGGTACAAGCCAGGAAGCTGGGAGGAAAGCGAGAGTGGAGGCAGGGCTGCCTGCGGAGGTGGTGCCGGGAGAAGGCGGTTCATGCCAGCACAAGGGGCAGCCTCGCTGGCTGGATGCCAGGCTGCCTGGGGCTGTGCTCTGTTTCTCAAGCTAAGCAAGGTCAGCCTTTGTCCCTGGTGGGATGGGAGATCTTCAGCACAGACAAGGGGTTGCAAGAAGTGGTGCTGCTCATTCATTCCTCCTTCTCTTCTCCAGGGGACAGGTCAGGCCAGAGGCACCCGGGCTCACAAGCAATCATATGGCACCTCCTTTCCCCCACCGCTGGGTCTGGCCCCCACGCAGCTGCCATGTGGGCAATTACTCCTTGCCTCCACAAGATCCCCTGCCCTGCCGGACAGACCCAGCCTGCTTGTCTGGAGCCGTCAGGCAGCGCGGCTGTGCAGCATTCACCAGTTGCAGTGCTCTACCCCAGAGCTGGCTGCAGCTAAGCAGCAAGCAAAATGATTCCTCGATGGAGGCTGCATCAAGGGATTAATGTGAAAGATGCCAGGGAAACACGACACGTTTACCTAGTGGGGGAAGGCAGGGTCACGGGGACAGCGGGAAGGCAGGACTTGTGCTGGTGGGGAAGGCTGTCCTCTCACTCTCTGCCCAGCCCTGGTAGCTCCTCCTGTCTGAAAAGATTGAGAACTCGGGACCGTAGGAACCCCCTTCCGATGCAAGCAAGGGAGGCTGCTGTTAGCCAGCTGCCCCTGCCACGAGCTGCCTCTCCCTCAGCAAGCATCTGTGCCGTGCCTCTTGCCCATGTCCATGCTGCTCGCTGTCGTGTTCCCATCACGGCATGGGGAGCAACAAGCCCTTTCGCTCTGCACCATGCTCTGTCTCCCTGCCACGGTCCCTGCCGACACCTGTCAGCCGCCCTGTTAACGCCGGCTGGGGAGCGAGCAATCAATGTCCAATCACCAGTGGCTCAGCAGAGCTGTGCACAGCACGGTTGAGGTGCGGTGTGGCACGGCGTGGGGCACAGAGCCTGTTCGTGGGCCCCACTGCAGAAGGCAGAGGAGCTGGTGGAGTTTGGACCAGTGAGGAGCCACGTCAGCAGAAGCCAGGCAGGGAGCTCCCATCTGCACCAGCAGCGCTGCTCCTGCACAATGGCATTATATGCTGAAGGACGTTCGTTGTCCTCCACAGCCCCCCGGGGAAATCGATGGCTGCAGGACATGGGGCGGGGACTGTTCCTGCGGCTGCAACACACCAGTCTCCCACGAGGCCATGGCAGGTCCCAACTGTCGACCCGAGGGACCGTCAGGCCTCCTGGTACCCCACATAACAGTCAGCTCAGGGCAGGTCCCCGCACAGATCACGGCAGAGGCCCATGCCAACACGACGTCCCTTGCCTCGCACTCAGCTCAGCCAGACACCAGACTGACGATTTTGTCCCATCTCTGCGTCTCCACCAGAGACCCACCAATGTGCACCACGCTAATGAGCCTCCAAGCACAGAGATGATAGCTGATGTGCATTTGGTCCTGGCTCGCAACAGGCCCCCAGCGAAGGCCAGAGCACAGAGCCTGCCCCAAAGGCACCGCCCAGGCTGGCCTAAGCTGCCTGGACCCTAGGATCAGCTGTGGCAGTACTTGTGCTGGTCTCCACAGCTGGTCAAAGTAGCAACAGCTGCACACTGCGGTAATGAGCCCAGGCAGGGATCCTCACTCTTATGGATGTCAATGGGAGCAGGAGGGGCTCTCTGGTCCAGAGGCCATTCTGTGCCTCTATGGAGGCTAGGGACAGCAAGGGGTGAAGGGAGGGCTCTGCACTGGTGGCCAGGGTCTCTCATCCTGGCTGCAGCGAAGGTGGTGCCGGCAGTTCCTTCAATACCCAGGAGTTGGAGCACAAGCTAGACAGGAAGAGTCTGTGCATCTGCTGTGTCAGGCTGTTCCCACAGCCAGTCCTGCAGGGCACTGAGCTAGCCCCAGGGCTGTTATCAGGGCACAGGCCCCTCTCTACTGCCTCCTCCACAGAAACAAACCTCTGCCAAAGCTTCCAGCTGGCAGCAGAGCTCAGGCAGAGCCAGCAGCCACTGCCCATTAGCACTGTCCCTGTGGGACTCGGCTAACAGTCGGACAGATGATTACCAGGTACCAAGGCTGGCCACTCATGCTTTGCAGAGGCACTAACCATCCCGATCCCAGTGTAGAGAAATTCCCCACCTGTGTCCCCTGCAGCCAGTGCCGACTCTGCCCCTCCCCATCACCGGGGAACTCGCTTGCAGTCAAGTCCTGTGGCACTGCCCACTGCCTCGCAGAGGAGCTGGCTTCCCTGCTTGGGATGGGAGATGCACAAGCTGCAGTGCGAGGAAGGGACAGACATGAGGACTCACAAGGCAAACTCCTGCCCAGAAGCTGTAAAGGGAACTCCAGGAAGGGAGCCAGGAAGAGACAAGACCACCTGTCCCTTCTAAGCGCCTGCCTAATCACATTAAACATCTAAATCCCCAGGGCACCAATTTAGATCCACAAAATCCAGGAGATGAGATCAAGTAAGCAGACCCCTTCTTAAGCGTATGTGTGCCTGCCCATGAGGCAGGGCCCACAGCAACCACCAGGGAACGGCTGCAGACCATCTGTGGCAAGCGCATCTGGAGACTCCAACGCGGCACCCCTCCAGCACAGAGCACCACCTGCAGAGGGCATGGGTGCCAGAGGTGCCTCCTTGCAAGGAAGGTGAAACGCTTTCTCATCCTCCCTCTCCTTCCTACACGAACCTCAGGCATTTGGCTGAAATGAGAAGGAACTTCCAAGGATGGGAAATGACCCTTTCTCCTCCTGCCAATATCATCCAGACCCAGCAGCAGGCATATCACTTCCTGCAGCCTCCCTCTTCTCAAGCAACTCTCCCCTGATATCCAGGGCTGGGTGCTTAGTCTCCCACTCCATTTCATGCAGTGCTGGTGTTCATCCACCCACTGTCTGCACAGCCTCTGTCCTCACCTGACTGCAAACCTTCTGTGGCAGGACCTGGCATGACGGGGCCACACCAGAACACAACCAGACTTTGTTCCCTCCCTTGTAGCAACATGAAAAAAG